AGCTTTTCAATTATTATATGAATGACATATGTTGTTATTGGCAAATTTTCTAATTTGGAGTCTGGAGTCATCTAACTTTTAAATGATCGACGGGATTTTTTTTTTTTTTTTTTTTTTTTTTGTCTTTTCATGTTGTTGGGGAAATGGGGAGTCGTTTTTTTAGCTGCGAAAGGTGTATTGGGATCTCTGTGGTTCTTGTTTCCATTTCGATCCGTGATGGATTTGGTGATTTCTTGCGTGCTATGCATTTTCTTTTGGTGATTAGTCGTGATTCTATGAATAGTGGATCGAATTGTCGTGATTCAGATTTACATGATGGTTTAAACTTCGGTCGTTTTTCTTTTAGAATTTTGATCGTTGGTTGGGAATATACGGAGATCGGATCTGATGGTTAGTTCTTGATCAGGGACGCTTTTGCTGTTTGTGAAGTAAATTGAAGTTCTGTTGATTATGATCTCTTGTTTAATCATGATCATAGTTTTGTTAGTAGGCTTCAGTTTCTTCTTCTCTCTTTTGCCGCTTCTCTGCTACCGCCATTGAATTGGTTTGTTGGCTGAAGTTTTTTAGATCTGGGACTTTAGGATTGAGTTTCCGTTCTTTTGTTCTTAAATATAGTTTAAATTTTGTGTTTTCTTTCTCTTTTGCTGTTTACGGTTTGTGATCTTATGTTCTGGATTTGTCCTGTGCAGAAGTTGCATTGACATGGCTACTACACACACTCCTAAGAACATCCTCATTACTGGGGCTGCTGGATTTATTGCATCCCATGTTGCTAACAGACTTGTCAGGAACTATCCTGGCTACAAAATTGTTGTTCTTGACAAGCTTGATTATTGCTCAAATCTGAAGAATCTTCTTCCATCTAAACCATCTCCCAACTTCAAATTCGTCAAGGGAGACATTGGCAGCGCTGACCTTGTCAATTATCTCCTAATTACCGAGTCCATCGACACGATTATGCACTTTGCTGCCCAGACTCATGTTGACAACTCGTTTGGTAATAGTTTCGAGTTCACGAAGAATAACATCTATGGTACACATGTTCTTTTAGAAGCATGCAAGGTCACTGGACAGATTCGACGGTTCATCCACGTTAGTACCGATGAAGTGTATGGAGAGACAGATGAGGATGCTGTTGTGGGAAACCATGAGGCTTCTCAACTCCTCCCAACAAATCCATACTCTGCAACAAAAGCTGGAGCTGAAATGCTTGTTATGGCATATGGCAGGTCATATGGGTTACCTGTGATTACGACCCGAGGAAACAACGTATATGGACCTAATCAGTTTCCTGAGAAGCTAATTCCAAAGTTCATTCTTTTGGCAATGAGAGGCCAGTCTCTTCCAATTCATGGGGATGGTTCTAATGTTAGGAGCTACCTATACTGTGAGGATGTTGCTGAGGCTTTTGAAGTCATCCTTCACAAAGGGGAGGTTGGCCATGTTTATAACATTGGGACAAAGAAGGAGAGAAGGGTTATAGATGTTGCCCAAGACATCTGCAAACTGTTTAAAATGGACTCAGAGGCAAGCATCAAATTTGTCGAAAACAGACCGTTTAATGATCAGAGGTATTTCTTGGATGATGAGAAACTCAAGATCTTGGGATGGTCAGAACGTACGACGTGGGAAGAAGGGCTCAAGAAGACGATCGAATGGTACACCAAGAACCCTGATTGGTGGGGTGATGTCTCTGGGGCTTTGCTGCCACATCCTAGAATGCTAATGATGCCCGGTGGAGTCGAGAGGCACTTTGAAGGGTCTGAAGAGGTAGCACCGACTGCTTTCGTTTCAAGTAATACTAAGATGGTTGTCCCAACTTCCAGAAATCCAGGCTCTCCTCGCCAGTCATCCTTGAAATTTTTGATATATGGTAGGACAGGGTGGATTGGAGGCCTTCTTGGACAGCTATGTGATAAACAAGGCATTGCCTATGCATATGGCAAAGGACGTTTGGAGGATCGAGCGTCGCTTTTGGCAGATATTCAGAATATTAAACCAACCCATGTTTTCAATGCTGCTGGAGTGACAGGGAGACCCAATGTTGATTGGTGTGAATCTCACAAAACCGAAACGATTCGAGCCAATGTCGCTGGAACCTTAACTTTAGCTGATGTTTGCCGGGAGCACGGGCTCTTGATGATGAACTTTGCCACTGGCTGTATCTTTGAGTACAACGCTCAACATCCAGAGGGTTCTGGCATTGGATTTAAGGAGGAGGACAAGCCAAATTTCATTGGTTCCTTTTATTCAAAAACCAAGGCCATGGTACGTACACATATTCATGGGAACTTTCATCTTTCTGGTGTGTTGTGATTATATCTCTTGCTAATCTTTATTTCTGATTGCAGGTGGAGGAGCTTCTGAAAGAATATGACAATGTCTGCACCCTCCGAGTTCGGATGCCGATATCATCCGACTTGAACAACCCACGCAACTTCATTACCAAGATTTCCCGCTACAACAAGGTCGTTAACATCCCTAACAGCATGACCATCCTGGATGAGCTTCTGCCCATTTCGATCGAGATGGCAAAGCGTAACTTGAGAGGCATCTGGAACTTCACAAACCCTGGCGTTGTGAGTCATAACGAGATCCTTGAAATGTACAAGAAATACATCGACCCCGAGTTCAAGTGGGCTAACTTCACACTGGAAGAACAGGCAAAGGTAATTGTAGCCCCTAGAAGCAACAATGAGATGGATGCTTCAAAGTTGAAAAAGGAGTTCCCAGAGCTGCTCGGGATCAAGGAGTCGTTGATCAAGTATGTCTTCGAACCGAACAAGAACAAGAAAACCTCGGCTTGATAAGTTTCGATGCTTAGAAACTTAGGATTATATTCATAATTGCATTCTGCATTAGTTATTTATGCTTATGATTGTCACATTTTGTCTGTGATGATGTTTGCTTTTCTCTCATAATTAAATTTTATTGTCTCTGCTCTGCTGCAATAGAAGGTGAAGGGTTATATTCTTCAATCCACCTTATGATGTATTTTTTAGGAATGCCAGTCTGTATTAAGTTCCAAATCCTATGAATTAATGCTATTAATTTTGCTGATTTTTCCCCTTTTTTTCTTTAATAATTATTTAGTTTTAGTTTTTTTAGTTAAATTTCTAAAATAAAAACAAATTTTGGTTAAAAATTAGCTTGGATTTTAAAAACATTCTTAAAAAGTAAATAATAAAACAAATAATGTTATCAATCCGAGCTTAAATTTAAATGAGAAAAAAGAAAATCACTTAGTTAATGAATTTTAAATTTATTAAATATTTGAGATAAAATTAAAATTAGATTTTGTTTCTCATTTTTTGAATAACTTTAAAAAATATTAAACTTTATAATTTTTTATTTAATAAATTTTAAATAGATTCTCAAATTTCCCCTTTCTTTTTTTTTCTTTAATAATTATTTAGTTTTTGTTTTTGTTTTTTTCCGTTAAATTTCTAAAATAAAAACAAATTATGGTTATAAATTAGCTTGGATTTTAAAAACATTCTTAATAAATAATAAAGCAAATATTATCAATCTTAAATTTAATTGAGAAAAAAGAAAATCACTTAACTTTTCTTTTCAAGTTAATGAATTTTAAATTTATTAAATATTTGAGATAAAATTAAAATTAGATTTTGTTTTTCATTTTTTTTAATAACTTAAAAAAAATATTAAAATTTATAATTTTTTATTTAATAAATTCTTAAATTTTTAATTTTGTATCGGTTCTAGATTTGTTCTACTGTTTTTAAAAATTTGCATACTTATTAAATATGGAACCGAAAAATTAGGATCTTATTACATATAAAATTCAATTTTTTATAATATAAATCATTAATTTTTTTAAACGTAAGCACAAGAAAAAAGGGTTATTTTAATGAAACATAATTGCACTCTTTTTTATAACAAGGTTGCTGAAATTTACGTTTTAAACATGTCCCAAGGCGTAGAACATTATTGAACAATGTCCAAAAGAAGCACGTGTTTCACGTTGATAATAAAGATTTAAACCTCACCTCTCCAAGGAATCATACACCAACCAAGTTTTTTCATTCCAGATTTTGTTTAAGATACTTAGATAAAAACAAATTAATAAAAAATAATATATATATATATATATATTTTTTAAGTTTGGTATAAAAAATTCTGTTTAATTTTAATAATAATTTTACCCATAACTTATTTCATACCAACTGCTTCAACCCTGTTCTCCACTCGGATGGATTCTCTCTGTTGACCTTCAATTTTTGTGTGGGAAGTTCATTTCATTTATTGATGGTTTCTGTATTAACTTTTGATGTGTGAGAATATTTTTAGGTCTAAATCTTTCTTTTTTTTTCCCTTGTTGAGTTGTTATGAGGTGAGGCGAGGCGGTGCGGTGCGGCTCGGAGGCCCCAAGTTCAAATCTTCGAACTTTTGAATAAACTTAAAAAACTCATCGCTAGCCGATATTGTTCTCTTTAGACTTTTTTCTTGGGCTTTCCCTCAAGATTTTGTTAGGGAGAGGTTTCCACACCATTATAAAGAATATTTCGTTCTCCTCTTCAACTGGTGTGAGATCTAACAATCTAACCCCTTCGGAGTCCAGCGTACTTTCTGGTACTCGTTCTCTTCTCCAATCAATGTGGGACCCCTCAAATTCACCCATTTCAGCATCTTTGTTGGCACACCCCTCATGTTCACTCTCTTTCAGGGCTCTGTTTCTTCGCTGTCATATCGTTCGGTGTCTGGCTCTTATACCATTTGTAAGAGTCCAAATTCACCGCCAGCGGATATTGTCTTCTTTGCACTTTCCCTTTCAGACTTTCGCTCAAAGTTTTTAAAACATGTCTGTTAGGGAGAAGTTTCACACCTTTATAAAGAATGTTTCGTTCTCCTCCCCAACCGATGGGGGATCTCACACTTTTCCGGTAATATATGGAAGGAAAGCTCTAAAGAAATTGTCCTTCCAGATGGTTGAATGGGCCAGTAGCATCTGTCTTGGAGTTATAGTATGAGCAACCAGCTAGAAATTCTACTCTGGCATTGTACTGCCATTTTGTCAAGTCATTACAGCCACATTTATATCATATCTTTCCGGGGTATATAAGTGGTGGAAGTTAATCTACGTAATATTAGATGGTTCATGAACAGGTTCGGTGTTATCATAAAAAAATGGCTACAAAACTACCAAAAGAAAGAAGAAAGAACCTTAAAGCCAGCGAATTGATCTGCCCTTTTGGCCACCAAATGTCACCTCACTAGCTTCCATCTCACAATCTACAATGAGAATATTTTTAACGAAGTTTTGAGCTTAAATTTCATTTTCATGTGAGCAAGCGATTGATATTACTTACGTGAACATTTGAGGGCGACGAGAGAGCTGAGGTCGTTTGATTGGGGACAAAATGAAGTTGCGTAGAGTCATGGAGGGGTTGCCAGCTCCACTTCCAGACGCGGAGTGAGCTCCAGCTCCTCTGTTCCCAGCTTCCATTGCCATTGGAGCAGCTTGTTTTGCCGGCCATATGTCCTCTCTTGGCCCTGGAGTTTCAGGAGCGGAAACCAGCCAGTCTACAAGAAAATAAGTCAACTTGTTTTGGAAAAATACTAGAACAGAGAAGCATGATTTGGATTTATTTTTGTCGTGTTTTTTTGTCGTGTTTTGTTGGGAGGGAGTCCCATTAAGAGGTAGATCATGGATTTATAAGTAAAGAATATATCTCCATTGGTATGAGGCCTTTGGGGAAGCCAAAAGCAAAGCCGCGAGAGCTCATGCTCAAAGTGGACAATATCATACCATTGTGAAGGATCGTGATTCCTAACATGGTATTAGAGGCATGCCCTTAACTTAGCCATGTTAATAGAATCCTCAAATGTCGAACAAAGAAGTTGGGACTCTCGAAAGTGTAGACAAAAGTGACTTAAGTGTCAAACAAAGATTGTACTTTGTTTGAGGGCTCCAGAGAAAGAGTCGAACCTTGATTAAGGGGAGGCTGTTCGAGGACTCCATAAGCCTCAAAAGAGGCTCTACAATGTATTTTGTCCGAGGGAATGATTGTTGAGAATTGTTGGGAGAGAGTCCCACGTTGGCTAATTAAAGGGTTGATCATGAGGTTATGAGTAAGGAATATATCTCCATTGATATGAGACCTTTTGGAGAAGCCAAAAGTAAAGCCATCATACCACCGTGGAGGATCGTGAATCCTAACCATATGATCCCTTCTCAATTCAACTCAACAATACCCACTGTGGAAAGACTTGTTTAAAATTAGAAAGAGAAAAAGCTTACCTTTCCTCGTGGTTTCTCTGTTATCCATCATATTAACAGGGTTTAAGAACAAATCAGGATCTTAAAAACAGAAATTAACAAGTCGGAGGCATAAATGAAAGGAGATGACCGACCTGGATTTTTCAGCAAACTTCTCCTGTAGCTCTTGTTTGTCTTTGGATAAATTCTCCATTTCTCGCTCCATCATCTGGCATCTTTTGGCCATTTTTTGGTATGCAGCATGCACCTGCTCCAGTTTCTCGGTGAACTTTGCTTGTATAACCTCACATTTCTGTCGGCATTGAGCCACGATTCTGTTCATCTTGTACTGCATCTCCAGTTCCTTTTGTCCAATATAAAACATTACACTTCTATATGCACTTCTCATCACTTGGACAGATCAAGGAAAATGAGCAACATTCATATTGTTACGATAAACAAATCTCCTCACAGTTTTAAAATGTGTACGTTAGGGAGAGGTTTCACACCCTTATAAGAAATGCTTCGCTTCCTCTCCAATTGAGATGGGATCTCACAATTACCTCTTCAATCGCTGGAATAAATGGAAAGGCAGTATTTTCCAGAGCTAGGAGGTTAATTTATCATTAATTATTATAATTTTGGATCATTAATGATCATTATTCATTCTAAAGGATACATATCTGAGGAGATATACCGGCCAACCATCTGCAATATTGTGTGTAGTGAGTGCCAGCATTAAAGTAATACACAAGGAAAAGGTTGAGAAACGCTAGAAGAGTCTAAACGACTTAAGCAAGCTAAATACAATCCTTTTAAGAAAACACTTACATTGACCCATTCATCGTTTGGATTGATATCCACAGGTTTCATGAGGCTGCCAAACAGAAAACGTACGTAACTTCATAATAACAAAGCCTTCACCTTTTAGAAAGAACTCGATCACGAATGGGGCATGCTCCATCATTGCTAAGGATCTTGCTTGCATCTTCTGTGCCTTTACACCGTTGAGGAACAATTTATCCAACAAGACCTCTTACACTTAATACTAATAATAGGTCAAATATTTCACAAAATTAAACAATAGAAATGAAATTTTTTACGAGCTTAGGATACACAACAGGTGACCACAAGTTGTGGAGATAGCTCGCCCTTCAAGTTCCCTCCAGCAAGCATTGCATTTCATAATGAACCTTCAGAAGTAACCTCTAATTCCATGGAATGCTAAGGAAATCGTAGACCCTGTAGTGAAAATCTTAACCACGTAAAAGATGCCTTAGTATTTGAAATGTTACTGTGACAGTCGTTTTAGTTAGTCAGTTCCCTCTCCTCAGTCGATCAAAATTGAAAGAAGAAAAATTGCAAGTTACGTTAATCCAAGTTGAGAAAATATCAGCGATCCAAGCTTTCATTGTTCACTATGAGTCAGAAATCAAATAAAAATCAGACCACCATCAATAATTTTGAAGACTGCAAATTATGCATGATGTTTATAAATGTGAATACCAGAAGCACTTTTCATAGTAAGAGGATATCAGTGGATGGCTTCCACTTAATGCTTCCACCCTATCCACAAAGACAAAGTTCTACTTGCTATAAGAACTCTAGTGATTTTATCTTAACACGAAGCACTAACGTCGAAGTGATGGATATAATGATACTTCAGTTTTTTCATACCGAACTGCAACAAATTTTCTCATTTAGTCCAAAAATTCTGCGAACAGCAGTTCTTTACAGGTTCTACAGCCATGTATAAAAGGACAGAAATTCCTCGTGAATGGAAGTAATAGAACCAGTAACATCCTGAACTGATTGGATTTTGATGAAAACAATGTTAGGAACCGCGGACCTTCACAATGGTATGATATTGTTTACTTTAAGCATAAGTTCTCAAAGTTTTGCTTTTGGTTTCTCCAAAAGGTCTTCCTTTACCATGGCAATACCATTGTTTACTTTAAGCATAAGTTTTCACAGATTTGCTTTTGTTTCCCCAAAAGGTCTCATACCTAGAGATGTATTCCTTGTTGAAATAGTCCAATAGTTACCATGGTAATACCATTGTTTACTTTAAGCATAAGTTTTCACAGATTTGCTTTTGTTTCCCCAAAAGGTCTCATACCTAGAGATGTATTCCTTGTTGAAATAGTTCAATAGTGTCAAGCCCAATTATTGTACAAGCTCAGTATATTTATTTTAGTAGAAAGAGATCCAGATATTTTAAGAAAAATATTCATTAGGTCTAGATTTAGATTTGTTAGGTCTTGTGTACGGTCCAGTATAAATATCCCTCCACCCTACCTAGGTTATTCATCCAAGCAATCCAAAAACAACAAATATCCCTCCACCCTACTTAGGTTATTCATCCAAGCAATCCAAAAACAACAAAAAGTAGTATCATACAAAGTGTCTTGTATTCTCTTCTCGATTGGTCGTAATAAAGAGTGCGAGTGTTTCCCACGTAGAGTTGTGTTCAACATTCCTTACTTATAACCCCATATCATTCCTTAAAGTAACCAATGTGGGACTCTCTCCCAACAATCTTCAACAATTCTCTCTTTGAACAAAGTATAACATAGATTCTCCTTTGAGGCCTATGGAGTCCTCGAATAGCCTCTCCTTAATCGAGGCTCGACTCCTTCTTTGGAGCCCTCGAACAAAGTACACCCTTTGTACGACACCTAAGTCACTTTTTTACTACACCTTCGAGGCTCACAACTTCTTCGTTCGACATTTGAGGATTCTATTGTCATGGTTAAGTTAAGGGTATGACTCTGATACATATTAGGAACCGCAGACCTCCTCAATAGTATGATATTGTCCATTTTGAGCATAAGCTCTCGTGGCTTTGCTTTTGATTTCCTCAAAAGGCCTCATACTAATGGAGATTTATTCTTTATATAAACCCATGATCATTCCTTAAATTAACCAAATCTAGGACTCCCTCCTACCTCCTAACAATCGTGAACAAACAAGTACTCATAATCTAAATCGGATATTATTGTTTTAAGATTCTCATGGGCAGGAGGATAAGCCGAGCTCTTTGCAATGAAAATATGAGATAGCAGCCAAAGAACTTGAATGCAACAGCTGTACTTGTTCCCAACATAATTCCATTATTCTCGGCGTACATTAATCGAAAATTCCAGTCCACACAAAAAGATAGATCGGAGTCAAACAGTTTTCATTTTTAACATGAAGAGATCGGACAAATCATTTGCAATTGCCGGAAATGCAAGGCCCACTAAAGTCACAAAAATCCTTCATAGCTTCAATTAGAAGACAAAAAAAAAGCCTGTGATTCTACCTCATGTTCTGTAGTTCAAGTAATAAATGGTGCTAATGTAGTGGGGACAAGATACGAGTAAACTAAAAATGTTTAATCAATCAAACAAAAAATCAACGGGGAAGCTATCAGGATTTAATCGATAGTTCCAAGCTTTGCTTTCTATCTCCACTTATTTCCCCAAATATAGTGGGGAAATGGTAGAAATCCCGAATATTACGAGGGAAAATGGAACAACAATAATTTCCAGATTTCGAGCTAATAAGCTAACAAACAACAATTAACCTGCAGATCTGGATGAAAGTGAATCAAATGCAGCCGAAAAGAAAATGGAACTTAGAAACAAGAAATATCATTTCACTCGAAATCAAATCGGAACTTGGAAAATGCTCTCTGATCACACAATAACTACTTGAAATAAAAATTACAGTGAGATTCAAAGTAGAAGCAACTATACCTCGAAATCCTCGGAAACAAATACAGTCCCGATCTTCAGCCTTCTCCCGTGTTCAATTAGAAGTGCGAATCTGAACAATCATAGAGCATAAACGCTTGAAAATGCTGAAGAAAGAAGAAATCAAAAACCTCGAAACCGGTCGATGAATAGAAGATCGAATTTGGCGGGAAATGTTCTTCCGTGTTGCTATTTTCTGTTACTCTTGCGCAAATAAATAAATAATAAATAATAAATAAATAAAATATATAAAAAAAAATCCCACTTTGAGGTATGGATTTCATGTATTAGCTAATTAGAGAGTGCTAGACCATTACCTCCACGTGACATCGCTCGGTTGGACGTTTACGTTAGCGCATAAGCAGTACTAGAGGAGTGGAAATCGGGGGCATGAAGTTACCAGTCACGATCGCACACTCGACGAAATAACTTTACGACCAACGTTGCCCTTTGAAATTATGTGGGACTATAAATCACACAGAAAGGGTGGAAAAGAGACGGGACAACTACCTCGAGGCCCTACCATTCACACTTCTACTCGACTCTTGAGTTCTTCATCGGTAATGAAAAATGATTCTGATGGGGAACGAGTACAGCTGAGTTGCTCTTAAGTGAACGAGTCACTGGATTCACTCAGTTCAGAAAATATTATGTAAGGTCTGAGCAAATAAGGGATGTATGGATGAACCGATACCACGTTCGAACAAGACCAATCCCGAAAATATAAAGATTAAAAAAAATTAGACGAATTGAAGTAGAAGAACGTCGAGATGATACGGAATCAAATTTGAAATCTAATTATTAAATGAGCATAAAATTAATTAATGAACTAATTAATTATAGAAATATTTGGAGACGACATGTCGTAGTGGGGGTGAAGGAGTACGACAGGAGATCAGAGGTGAAACGTGGACAAAAATGGAGGAAGGAATTGATATCAAAATATCAGTACTGAGTTCACACTCCGAATCACAAATCAAATCCCCTTCTTAAACCTCTCTCAACTTGATCCACTTGTTCCCCAAGGAACCTTATTCCTTCTCCATTGTTCTTCCGGCAAATTTTCTTTCAAATTCCGAGGGATTTTTCAGAGATTGAAGGGGCTGTGATTCTCCTCAAACCAGGTAGGAGGGGAAGTTGTTCTTTCTTTTTTTTCTTGTTTTCTGGGCTTTTTCGACGGGGATTCAGTGATGATGAATAGGTTTTAGAGGATTCGGGAGAAAGTGAGATTTTCTTCGGTGAAAAGAGTATGAAGATTCAGTGCAATGTCTGCGAGATGGCTGAGGCGACCGTTCTGTGTTGTGCTGATGAGGCGGCGCTGTGCTGGGCTTGCGATGAGAAGATTCATGCGGCCAACAAGCTTGCAAGCAAGCACCAGAGAGTTCCTCTCTCTGATTCTTCATCTCAGATGCCCAAATGCGACATCTGCCAGGTATGTGCTGTAATTAGCTACTCTCTGTTACAAGCAAGCACCACACCAGGGAGTTGTGATGTGGAATCAACCTTTTGTGTTCATACTTAGTGGAGATTAAAGCTTCTATGATAATTTTTTTATTGTGTTACCATGAAATGAGTTCCATAGGCTGAAATAGAATGATTGCATATCCACTCAAGATAAAAGATCAAGGAGTACTTGAATCTGTTGCCAAATCTCACGAGCTTGACCATGTTTTTCTTTAAAATTTCTTCTAGATTTCTGTTTCCAGATCTACTGATGAAGGAAAGAAAAGTAGGTTCCAGCTCGAGATGTAGCTGTGGGCAGTTTTAGAAGTTTGAAATGCTGGCAGATAGATTTTGAATAGTTGTAAAGGCGATAAATGTTTTCTAATCTAGTAAAACAGGAAAAAGTGCCTCATATTTTAGATCAGTGACTATATGGGGAAGAGATTATGATGAGTGAATTAGCCTGCAGAAAAAACCAAGATATGGATTGATGGTATGTGCAATTGGTGATGCTGTCGTGTGTTGCATGCCGGCTTTAGTAAGTGATGATTATTAGTGTGTAGCCGCTCAAGCCTACCGCTAGCAGTATTGTCCTCTTTGGGCTTTCTCTTTCAGACTTCCCTCAAGGTTTTTAAAACGCTCTGCTAGGGAGAGGTTTCCACACCCTTATAAGAAATGCTTCGTTCCCCTCTCCAATCGATGTGGGATCTCACAATCCACCCCTTTATGGACAAAACGTCCTCACTGGCACACCACCTGGTGTCTGGCTCTGATACCATTTGTAACAACCTAAGCCCACCACTAGCAGATATTGTCCTCTTTGTGTTCCCTTTCAGTCTTCCCCTCAAGGTTTTTAAAACGCGTCTGCTAGCGAGAGATTTTCACACTCTTATAAGGAATATTTTGTTCCCTTCTCCCACCACTAGCAGATATTGTCCTCTTTGGATTTTTTCTTTCGGGCTTCCCCTCAAGGTTTTTAAAACGCGCCTGTTAGCGAGAGGTTTCCATACACTTATAAAGAATGTTTCGTTCCCCTCTCCAACCGATGGGGATTTTAAGAAACAAGCATAACCCATCTTTTCTATCTTGTGCATGCTTTCGTAGTATATTGTTATGCGTTGATGGGAGAATGTCAGCCGATGGCGAATTTCCTTTCTTTTCTTTTTTTTCAATACCCTTTATCAGTTGAGACTGTTACCCTTTCTTAATCATCTGTGATTTCTTGCAGGAAGCTAGTGGCTATATCTTTTGTTTAGAGGATCGAGCATTACTTTGCAGAAAGTGTGATGTTGCTATACACACAGCAAATACTTATGTAACTGGTCATCAGCGCTTTCTGCTTACTGGGGTGAAAGTGGCGCTTGAGCCAACTGATCCTGTTCCTTGTTCTTCCATGCCTAAGTCACATTCTCAAGTGAAACCTACTGAGACAAAAGTTAGACCTCTGTCTGAAAGGGAATTCTCGTTGCCTTCTCCTGGTGAACTCAGCAGATGCCTGTCTGTACAAGGTGGATCTGAGGACTTTATGGCAAATGGAACGTTCCATACCGGAGATGCTGTTTCTGGTGGCTTTTCACAATGGCAAATGGATGACCTTATTAATCTGACTGGATTCAATCAGAACTATGGGTTTTTGGATAACGGATCATCCAAGGTATGGTGATGGTTTTTTAATGCAATAAATTCAAAATAATGCCAACCCCATTAATTGTTTACGATTACAGAATAATGACCGTTCATAGAAGTTGATAATGCTTGTTGCTTCTGGGATTTAAAGATCTTTCTATTCCTAGGATGCCTTTCACATAGCAAACCTCTTTTATAAGTAAACGTCTAGTGTAGCCTGCATACTTTCTCCTTTTTAACTGTGTAATTATAACCGTTCAAGTCCACCACTAGTAGATATTGTCCGCTTTAGCTCGTATGGTTTTAAAATGCATCTACTAGGGAGAGGTTTCCACACTCTTGTAAGAAATGTTTTGTTCCCCTCTCCAACCGACGTGGGATCTCACAATCCACCCCTAGCGTCCTCGCTGGCGCAATACCCGGTGTCTGGCTCTAATACCATTTGTGACGGTCCAAGCCCACCACTAGTAGATATTGTTCGCTTTAATTCGTTACATATCGTCGTCAGCCTCACGGTTTTAAAATGCGTCTACTAGAGAGAGGTTTTCACATCCTTATAAGGAATGCTTCGTTCCTCTCTCCAACCAAGGTGGGATCTCACACTCCACCCCAGCATTCTCGTTAGCACACCGTCTGGTGTCTGGCTCTGTTACCATTTGTTGTTCAAACCCACCACTAGTAAATATTGTCCGCTTTAGCCTGTTACGTATCGCTGTCACCTTACGGTTTTAAAACACGTCTATTAGGAAGAGGTTTTCACACCCTTATAAGAAATGTTTCGTTCCCTTTTTCAAGTAATCATATCTTTTGTATTGGGATATTCTACATAAGTAATTAATTGATGACCTATAAGATGTAACTTTTGTAGGACGTTTGTAGATTGTTATGGGTTGTGGCCAAGTACTGCTAATCCTGATGCAATAACTTTCTGCTTTTCTTTATTGGTGACATATAGCAGGCTGATAGCGGCAAGCTCGGGGATTCTGATTCATCTCCAGTTTTAAGGGCTGCTGACATTGAGCTAGACGACAACGATGAATGCTCGGGTCAGGTTCCAGAGGCTTCCTGGACTGTGCCTCAGATTCCCTCCCCTCCTACAGCATCTGGCTTATACTGGCCAAGAAGTTACCATAATTCTATGGATGGTGCTGTTTTTGTTCCTGACATTTCCTGTTCTTCCGAAAAGGTTCAACATTGCTCACATAATGGTAGATTCTTGAAACGACGGAGGCAGTTCTAGATGTCCGAGCTCGATCATAGGGACTTCAATGCAAGTGTTCTGAACCTCGCTAGGTTTGTTGTGTGTTTATAGCTTTCATTTACAGTCGAATTATAATAAGTGGACACGATCAAAGATTATCGCTTGAAACGTATACCTTGTAACGTAACCACTATAGTTTAGGATTTGTTACATTGATGTAGAAATAAAACCTGCGCCATTAGTTGACCTTGTAGGTATTTTTTTTCAGATTTATTTCAAACATCTTGTGGAAATGATCGTTTCATATCACCTTGACCTACTTGATTGATTATTTGTAGTTTTACAAAAAGATTATGAAGAATCAATGTCATGTCTTAGCCATTTTTAGTTCTGTACCTCTTCTGTCATTGTAATATGTTCTGAACTCCTCTTCCTGGCTGTGTACTTGAAATCTTTCTCTACTACTTCAACTGAGAGCATATTATTTCTTCACTGATGGCTTTGTTTCAAGCGAGGAGATGAACACTATTGTAATGTCTCACGTTTTAAAGCCTTGAGGGGAAGCCCGAAAGGGAAAGCCCAAAGAGGATAATATTTGCTAACGGTGGATCTGGGCCGTTACAAATGGCATAAAAGCCAGACACCGGATTATGTGCCAGCGAGGAGGCTATCCCCAAAGAGGGTAGACATGACTCTCTCACGTGTATACGCTCAAGGAATTTTAGGCCACTCTGTTTGCACTCATTTACACAAATGAAGCTCTCATTCTCACCTCTCAAAATTTTAAATAGAGCAAAGATTGAATTTTGAACTTTGGGTCGATTAAAAACTAAAAAGATGAAAATAAATAAAAATCAAATTGAGAAGAAACGCAAAGGAAACATATATCCGATCTTGAGCCTGAAGCTCTGATACCAAATGATA